TCCTTTTCCACCTCCGTGCTGACAAGACGGGAGTTCCCCAACCTGTAGGTATGGTGCCGGCTGTTCCTCCTCAGGTGCATCACCTTGCACTTGTCCGTGTTGAAACCCATCCTATTCTCATCCGCCCACCCTTGTAACCTGTCTAGGTCACATTGTAGCCCGTTGCTTCCTTCTAGTGTGCCCACGTCCCCCCCCATCTTAGTGTCATCAGCAAATTTGAACAGGGTGCTTTTTACCCCCTCGTCCAAATCACCGATGAAGATGTTGAACAGCGTGGGCCCGAGAACCGAGCCCTGTGGAACCCCACTGCCCACGTCCTTCCAGGTTGAGAAGGACCCATCCACTACCACCCTCTGGGTGTGGCCCTCCAGCCAGTTGGCGACCCATTTGACTGTGGGTGTCTACGCCACAGCCCCCCAGTTTCTTAATGAGAATGGGGTGAGAGACAGTGTCAGAAGCCTTCTGGAAATCCAGGAAGACTGTCTGCTGCTACCCCTGTATCTAATGATCTGGTGATCTGATCGTAAAAGGCCACCAGGTTGGTCTGACAGGACCTGCCACTGATGAACCCGTGTTGGTTGCCCCTAAGCATGCAGTCTCCTGCTGGCCCCTCCTGGATATGTGCCAGAATAATTTTTTCGAACAGTTTGCCTAGGATCGAGGTAAGACTAACTGGCCTATAGTTTCCCGGGTCCTGGGAACCACGTTGGCCCTCTTCCAGTCCACCGGTACCTCTCCAGAGCACCACGAGTGCTCGTAAAGCCATGCCAGGGGACTTGCAATGACCTCAGCCAGTTCCTGTAGAACTCTAGGGTGGAGATCATCCGGACCGGCTGACTTGAAAATGTCCAGCCCCTCCAGAAGCTCCCTAACTAAATCCTCACTAACCCTTGGCCCAAGTGTGCCACCCCCAGGACCCGAGGGGGGCCCAGCAAGGAGGTGGCTGTTCTGGTCCCTACTTGGGAAGACAGAGGCAAAGAAATTGTTAAATATGTTAGCTTTGTTGTCTGGTGTGACGACCAAATGAGCACCAGCATGGTTGAATTTTAGTGGGAGTTCAAAATTTGCAAAATTTACATTTGTTTTTAAATCTTGTATTAGTGAGTGGGCAGAACTTGAATCTGTTTTTTGTGAGGACACCTTTCATTCATAAAGAGCTGGTACGCCATACTTGTGTCAGTACAAAGCTGCTGAAATTAATGCATTTAAAAAAAGAAAAAGCCCTTTAGCTGGAGTGGTATACAAATAACAAATGATTGGTCCTAAGCTTTAGAAGTACTGTTTTCTTGCCCCTACCTTTTTAACTCAAAATCAGTGCTGCTTTTATAGACCTGGGTGCAAAAGTACCTCTGTATAAATGATTATGTAATATGGTTAAAGACTTTTCTTGGTAACTATATTGCTGGAAATTCTAGTATTTTCATTTGTTAGAGCTTTTTGTGTGCAAGTCTTTGAAACCCTAGATTCCTGGAAAAGGAATTGCTTTCCCAAAATGTTCACTTGTCACCAGCATCCTTGTGATGGATTGTGGTGACCCATTTTGCAGATGGGATAAATGCAGTTTGACTTCCCAGTTTTATGTATCAAGTTAGACAGCCTGTGTGTGGGCAGGGTTGGAGCTGTGTTTTTCTGACTCAACCTTGTTTGTCTTTCTTTAGCCTGCTAGTTGATAGGGGGTAGACCTCTTTGATTTGCATGCTATTAGTTATGCACTCTCAGTTGCATTATACTGTTCAAATTCTGCAGGAGCCTTGCTGGTGGAAGAGGTGTCTAATCATTTAATATTCATTCACAAACGTCATGTTGTCATATTGGCTGCAGCCTTGCCCAGTTGATGAAGATTACTTTCTTTCAAAATTCTTACCAATGTGGTATTGGCATCTATGGCATATTAGATTTCATTTGTGTAAATAGTGTACCTAAGATGGTTTTAAACAAAGCCATGAAACTATATTCCTGTAAAACTGTTAATTACTAAGGGGAATGAGTTGAATATTTAATATTTTAGTACTCTAGCACTAATGTGGATATGCATACAAGCAAAATGCTTTATAGCTGTATAATATAGCTACTACAAGTAAAATCCTGTATGCTTGTGCATTAAGATTTTTCCTGTAAGATCTTTAGTTGGACTGATGATAAATGTGCTTCCCTGAGAGAACTGAGTGTTGGGTTCTTTCTGCCTTTTGACATAATGGGTGAAGGCACCACTTTAATAAAAGCTTAATTTGTTTTTAGGTCATGATCATAATGTTTCTTCAGTAGCCATCATGCCCAATGGAGATCATATAGTCTCTGCCTCGAGGGATAAAACTATCAAAATGTGGGAGGTTCAAACAGGGTAAGTGTAGTTCTGTTTAAACCTCCGCACCAAAAGGACATGAACCATAACTCTTATGTTGTAAAAAACGTATTGTATACAGGTTGAATGCCATCTGAACTTTATCTTGCATGCCTTCCAACTGTCTGCTAAATCATATTTTCTTATGCGATTGGGCCCTGATGTTCCTGTAGTCACCTGTGATTTTTCTCTTTTGCTCCTTGTGAGTTTCTGGTCTACTATACAGTATGGTTCTGAATCAGTTGGACTGGGTTGTTATAGATTTTGGAAGGGTGTAATTGGTTACAGCCAACTTCACCTTTCTTGGTGTGAACAAAGGCCTTTCTCCATAACTCTCCACTATCAGTTTTCAGTCTTTCAATATGTAGCCCCCTCCCACTAAACTTGCTTCCCCCCCCATGCTTTGAACCACAGATCAAATATTGTTGTATTCTGTAGGTTTCTACATATCTGATTAGAAGCAAGCATTTTAAAGACTTCTAACTTTCTCAATATATAAGCCTTCCCTTAGGCTCCCTCCACTTCATTGCTTCTCTTCCTCCCTATCTCTGCTTATTTTAGCTGCCTTGTCTTTCTTATTTGATGTCTTTCTTTTCCATGAGTTGCATCTCTCTTCTCTAGCCTTTTCAGTCAATGTTTAATGGGTACTTTAATGCCTGTTGTTCTTAAATCGCCCACCTTAGTCATAATGTTTGTAAACTATAAATACTGGTGTACACCAGTTCATATAGTCATGTGTTCAGCTGTCACAGCCTGCATTTCTTATTTTACAGTTATTGTGTGAAGACTTTTACGGGACACAGAGAATGGGTGCGCATGGTGCGGCCTAACCAAGATGGCACCCTGATTGCCAGTTGTTCTAACGACCAGACGGTGCGTGTTTGGGTAGTAGCAACAAAGGAGTGCAAAGCTGAGCTCCGAGAACATGAGCATGTGGTAGAATGCATTTCTTGGGCTCCCGAGAGCTCATACTCCACCATATCGGAAGCCACAGGATCAGAGGTAGCGTATTCGTGCTTGTAGTGATTGTATTGCATACACTACAAATGCAACAGGCAGTTTAGAATATTCTTTTACACACTGATGGCTAGATAACGTATCAAAGGTTAATACGCTTCTTGTAAGATTTGGACGTAGCAGAAGTATGAAAATAGATATATAATATAATTTGGGGTATGGTTAATGCCACTTCTTGACATTCATAGTGGAAATGCCCTTACTTTAGTGTAAACTGGGTGCTAACTCTAACCTCGTTATTGAGAGGGATGGTGTACAGCTATTTCTGCTTCTGGGGAGAAGGGCAAGAACTGTTAGGGTTTCAGGCAGCCCCAGTGATCATCCTGCAGTGCATTAAAGGAACATGGGAGGGAGCTCATGAGTGTTCATCATTTGAAAGATGTTCAGATACGAGGGGGTATTCGTAGAATTCAGAAGCAGGCAGCCAGGCATGGTTATCAAAGGCGTGTTGGGACATCCCTTGAGCTGAGCTTTGGCCGAAAGCTCTAGTACAGAAAGGATTGACTTGAGAATTCCTCCTTTCGGTTCTCCCATATTCAACTATATACCTCAAATCTTTTGTTTTTAGGGGCAAATCATCAAGGAAGGCTTGCTCTGGTTTGCAAAAACAACTCCCAAACCAAAACCACCCTTAGTGAAAATAGCATAGCAATTCAGCTACTCTGTAGAGAGCACTTCTTTCTGCTAGAGGAAGTTTTTTGTTTAGCTGAACTACAGGGAAGAAGTAGATAAATGTAAGCTATAAGGAACTTGTAAAATTGACAAGTTTGGACAAACAATGTCCGTCAAAAGGATCTTACTCACTTCCTAAGAATACTTGAAGTAATTAAAGTTGTTTTTTTTAAATACATCCCAAATGCTAGCAGATTTCCTTTTGCCCTGGTAATTATCAAAAGAAGTGCTCTCTTGCCCTCTTCTGGACTGATCACCTAAAAACATAAATCAAATAAATAATACTGAATTATATTATCTACCTTCCGAAAAGAAACAAGTGAATCTATTAACTGTAAAGTTGAGACACTTTGGTCCTGAGGACCAAATCTTGCTTTCATATTTTGCCCAGATTTTAGAGAATGTGTGTTTGTTTAAGTTGAGAGTGTGTGTGTTTTTGGGTAGTCTGGGGGGGAGAGGGGGAAGAGTGGTGAGAGAGGAAAAAATTGGGGTTATGGAAAGAATTGTGTTGATGGTTCAGTGTTCATGATGGGGCACGCAAAACAGTGGCTTATTTGGATTTGTTATGAAGAAGTATTTGTCATTATTCACCTTCCTTTAAAAGAGAAGGTCTGATTGTGCAAAACTGAAATAGATCTCTAGTCTCCTAAATGGAAACTTGGTTTGGGACTGTAGGAGAGAAACTGTTATTTTCTTGTGTAAGCTTTGCAGTGATTTAGTGTTTGTGCTTCTCCCTGTTAAGTATTTATAATAATGAAATTCTGACAAACCTTTATTTTAATTAGGCAGTGGTATGCCTTATTGTGTTAACCTTGTCATTTAGCAGTCTGCTTTCCACTTAATTTGAAAAAATAATTCAAATTGCACCATCTTTAAGGTCTCTACATGTTTTCTTTTGTATGGAAAATATACATTTAAAAAACTAATTGTTATTGTAGACTAAGAAAAGCGGTAAGCCTGGGCCTTTTCTGCTGTCTGGATCCAGAGACAAAACCATTAAGATGTGGGACATTAGCACTGGCATGTGCCTTATGACACTTGTAAGTTTTTTGTGTTGTTAATATTTGCAGACATAGTGATAATTTTAGTGATTTAACATAAAATGATGTTTAGTGTTTATTTTGAAATGCACTAATCAAACTCCCCTTTTGAAAGCAAATCAAATGGGTTCTAAATAGTTTAACGTGTGCTGTAGTAGCCTCATATTTCTTTTTTTTAGTAGTGTTAAGGAATAATATTCTTAAGACAAATTTTGTGGTAAGAATTGCTTTCCATAGAATGGAGTACTGTGGTATGGTTATGTGGCAATTTTGGTTCACCTCTTGGAACTCGAGTGCCTAAAGACTTATCCTTGTCTTGAGACTCGAGCACCATTCAAAAGGTTGTAAGGGGTTGGCCTAGTGTTGCAATGCATTAATATTACCAGTTGTCATTCCACCCTTGGTAAAATCCCCAGTGCAGGACACTTAAGGGCAGAACAGGAATTCTCCTTGTCAGTGGCATTGGTGTTATTCTAATAACCATTTTTAATAAATATTAAGGTTTAGTAGTTTTGATAGAATGAGAGAACAGTTTTTTCTGGGAAAAATAGCCTTGGTGCAAATTCTGTGCGTATGTGACCAATTTAATACATTTTTCCCGTAGATCGTCTCACTTTTTTTTATTTCTGCTTCTTCATAAGGTGGGCCATGATAACTGGGTACGTGGAGTTCTGTTCCATTCTGGGGGGAAATTTATTTTGAGCTGTGCTGATGACAAGACCCTACGCGTTTGGGACTACAAGAACAAACGATGCATGAAAAGCCTCAATGCGCACGAACACTTTGTTACCTCTTTGGGTATGTATTTGCTGCAGAGCATGCAATCAGAATTACAACCTTTCCACACTATTTCATGAATGCGTTTGAGGCACAGAAGTACCCTTCTGAAGATTTAAATGTGGGACCTCTTTGTACTTGAGCTGCTTTTTGTAAGTGCAGTTTATATCCTGTCCTTAAGCTGTGCTGCCATTGGTGATGCAGGTGCTCAGAATTATCCCAAAAGTTTATTTAAAATTAAGATGCATCAGCAATGTGGGAAATGTTGCAGGGGGAGGAGGTAAAAACTTATTTAAAAAGACTTCTATTTTGTAGGAATTTTGTAAGTTTAGTCGCTAGCTTAAACATTCAGATAAGTTTTATCTCCCTCATTCAGATTCATCTCAGGTTGGTGGCTGATTTGAAAATCACCATCTGACAGTCATTTGCTATCTTATGTGAATCACACCAAGGTGGATTTGATTTAAACCATATCTATTTAAATCACTAGTCAGGAAGCCTTGATTTAATCTTTGTTTTCTACAAAAAGTGCATTCTTGTTTGATGTGACCTTAATGGATATTATTTACAACTTATGGACAGGTGTAGGTTTCATTTTTAGAAAGTACACACTATACATTTTAAAGCAGTCATTGATTTTGATACTTTTTTCAGATTCATCTTGTGGCTACATCAGAAAACTTAAGTTATGAGTTGGTTATTTTATTTACCAAAGTTATTTGAAGCTGATACTTGTGAAGTCATTTGGAGGTGAACTATCTTGAATTCACTAGATTAATCCCGAATATTTGGGGGATATTTTGCCATGCGGTATTAGGAGGACAACAATAGTGACTGTCACCAAAAACAGACATTTAAATTTGTTTTATTTAACTAAAACAACAAGCTGATGTATTTTGGATATTTTTCTTCAACAACAAGCATGTATAATTATTTTAACAAAACAAGCATATGTATTTTTGAATTTTTAACTATCTTAGTTATAAATGTGAAATATATTTTATAACAAAAATTAAATAGATTATTTCATCCAGGTCAACAAGAGATACTTAAAATACTGGGTTATGTAGCAAACTCAGTCTTCACTTTCCTCTTCCTGTTTACTCAGAGACTGGAAAAGACAAGGTTTCCTGCTTTTTCAGTTTCCAAGCAGTTTCTCGGTTTAGAATAAGTTAGTTCAAAGGAAGAAACTATTCTTTTTATATCTGCGGAGGAAGCTACTGCTGTTAAGCTGGATTATCACTTCAGTAGTCTCTGATGGATCCAGGTGCTTGATTGACTTCCACCAGTTCACTGGAGTGACTTCCTTTAAAACCTCATCAGCAAACATATATTTCTTGAATGGTTCACCCTTAGCTCTGAAATGTATTATAGTTGGCATTCTGGAGGGATGATCTTCAAAGCAGCTTCCTCCTGAGAAGGAGCATTTCTCATGTTGAAGTTTCATTTGGGCAACCAGGCCTTGCATATCTTTGCACTGTTTGCATTCTACACGCGTGCCTGTCTTATCCATGGGTAGAGGAACTTCATTAAAATATTCCTAAACAGGTTCTTTTTTGTGGTCTGGCAAGCCTGCTGCCATGATAGGTTTTCCCTTCTACCATGCCACTCCCTCACTAGATCTCAAGTCAGTGGAGAGGCTATACTCAAACTTCTCCCTCAAGACTTCTGGAATGTTCTGCTCAAAATGTTGTTCTTTTGTTTCTACTGCCCCTCTCTCCTTGCATTTATCTCCAGACTCCTCCCCCTTGCCCAGATCTACTCCACCCCCAACAATCCTCTGTTCATTTAACTTCTTGAAACTTTGCACTTTTAGAGAGAGGTGTAAGGGCTTGACTTTGTGTACAGGTACCTTGCAGAGAGACAATAGGGCTGATGGGTAGGTAATCAGGTCTGTTCTGTCATCTTCGTATACTGCTGCTAATAAGGATGTTATCTTTGGAGACAGACATCCACAGTTTGAGAACTGAAACTAAGCATCACAGATGCTTCGTGGCATCTTCTAGACTGAGCACTGAGTCCCATTGGGCAGAGTGGTTTTCTCTAATCTTTACTAATGTATAGAGGAGGCTCTGGGGACCCCATAAGATTGGGTCCCAAATATAGTTCATGGCCTGTTGTGACCTATTTTATATATTTTTCCTAAGAGAGGTTACATGAATATATTGTCTCAAATAGTATATAATTAGAAGTTATCATCCCTATTCCATAATGATATCTTTGAGCTTGAACGTCTCTTGAATTAAACCTATTTCATATAGGTTTATTTTTTTTTAAAGTATCTTTAAAAAATAAAAACCCGATTTTTAAATAAAAAAAATCCAATTTTCTAATCCAATAATTGATTTTTACCCACCCTGAATCATACTAGTTGTTGATGCACAAGGAGTCGATCAAAAACCAACTTCACTGATTCCAAGTTGAAGCATGCAGACCAGATATTTAGTGTGAGAGGTGTGAGTTTGTACTACATTCCTTTTAAACTGAGGTGGGACTGCTATGGAGAGCTCCTGTTTCTGCCACTTGTCACACTTGTGTTCAAGATGAAGAATTTAGGAGTAAAGTCAAAAGGGAGGTAACAAAGTCAAGGGTTATCTAACCCTCAAGACTGTTAGAAATTGGACAGCTCTGGAATATTTAAGGCTAAGCTGTTCAGCTTGCCCTGTGAGCTGCACCAACACAAGCTGTGGGCCCCCTGGCTTGTGTGCCATGTGGGCATGCTAGCTTCACCCTTGGCTTCCCAGCCATACTACACCACACTGCTTCCCCCCCCCAAGTAGTGTGGGAACAGGAAGTGGAAGGCAGAAAAGAGAGAGTGAACCTGCAGACCCCAGCTGTAGTAGCAGATAGAGCAGTAGAGGTAGCAGTGGCCAGGTAAGTGTCTTTGGGCCACCCACCTAATGCCTTTTGGGCTGCATTCAGCCCCAGGGCTGCCAATTTGACAGACCCAAAATATTCAATATTTAGCTTTTGCTAAAAGACGTTTGGAGTTTGCCAGAAAGTTTCAATGAAGTCCTCTTATCCCTCTCGGCTAAATCTCCCAATGTTGGTTGTCCCCTGGTTGACGCGATTCAAAATCGATTAGTGTTTAGTGCTTTTAGGTCTCCTGAAAAGCAGTCTTACTTTTATGCTTGTGAAAAATCTGTTCATGCCTGGCTCATAAACTACCTACACCAGCAATACAAGAGTGGGTGCATCTACACATGCAATTAATGTGAAGTAATAAACTCCAGAGCAGTTTGAGCTAGAGTGAATTACCAGGTGCACAGTGTCTACATGTGCTGCTAGGACAGCAGGAATTTGAGTGCAGGCAGAGCAGGCCTGGGCTGGTAGGGAGCATGGGGGGTCAGCCCCAGGCTCTGGGTGGCAGTGTCAGATGGTGGAAGAGCTGGCTGGGGCATGAGGTTGGTGAAAGTGCAGAACTGTGTGGCTAGGCAGCAGGCAGGAGTCCAGCTGACTGAGTACAATTTATGGCTGCAGTCAATGTCTGCACATGTTTTAATTGCAGTAAATTACCCCAGCATAAGATAGTACTGTCCCTGACGGTACTGTCTTGTGCAGGCATAAATTGGCTTACTGCGGCCTAATACTGTCACATGGTGACACTTTACTCTGCAGCTAATTAGCCTGCTCTGCAGTAAAGCGCATGTGTAGATGTGGCCATTATAGGCTTGTTTCAGAGTTCTTGAACATCTTAATTGCTAATGTATGAAATGTAAGTGTTTTAGTTTGTTTCCAAAGGAAAAACAAGCAAAGGGTATAGGAGCAGAGCTTATATCCATTGATAGTAATACTTGTCTTGTATAACTGTATAGATGATTGTACTTGCCATTTAAAAAACCCAAAACGGGAAAATGCTGCCTTGCTCAACAAGTGTGATTGGATCCAAACATTTCCTTTATAAAAAATGGGAGAGTTTTTCCTTGAAGGAAATAAAACGGTGGTATCTCTTTATCTGAACAAATGTTTTCCAAGTTGCTGTTCATCTCAGTTGAGGTCTGTTGTGGCTGAAAAGACTCTGAACGCAGGTCTCCATAGTCTGAGTCCCAGAAGAAAGCTGAGAGAGATGTGCACCTCTTTTAGTTTTTGACTTTCTTGTTGTAAAGCTCTCTTGCAAGAACTGATAATGCTGCCTTCGACCACATCCCCGGGCTTGGTAGTTTTTAGATGAACTTGTTCATTACTAATTTTATCATTCCTCTAAGTATATGGACTTTGGGCTCTTATTTTTCATGTTGTTGTGACAAAATGAGATTTCAATCAAGGAGTTGAAGGCAAAACCAAGATGGCACCTGCCACAAGGACCTTAAAAACTTAGTTTTGTCTTGATTTTTCTTTTTTAAATAGTGCATTATCCCTTTTTGGGGGATGGGTCTCTTGGGAAGGGTGGTACTATGAATTGCTGCATTCACTTTTTTTCTTTTAACATACGCTTTTCTTTCTCACAGATTTCCACAAGACGGCACCATATGTGGTTACTGGAAGTGTAGATCAAACAGTAAAAGTGTGGGAGTGCCGTTGATTTGAATTCACATTTGACCCCCTTTTCCTCTGGATGCACTCAGATACCATGGTTACCCATTGAGCTCTGTTTAAATAAATATTGTCCTTTCATGTAAATTATTCTGGATGTAGATTGAGCTTATTAAATGTTACACACAAAGTATTCATGCATGGTGAATCCAAATTGTATACTGTAAATTTACATACGTTGTCTAGAAGTACCATAGGTTTAAGAACATGGGCTGGCATTGGTCACATCAGACCTAAGAAGGCAGAAGTTGGATAATTGGAATAGGGCACTTAACTGAATAGTTGACAGTGTCGTTCTATGTTGGATAATTATACCTGTTTTTCTTTCTGCTGTCTGTTGGTGCCTGAATTGGTGACCTCATTTGGGAAAAGTTTTGTAGGGCTCTTTCAGAAATGTGTATCTATGTAACATCACTTAAGTGTGCTTAATAAATCTTCTCTAAGGATACTAGATAATAAGGCTGCAATTCAGAATCTTCTGAACCTTATATGTAATTAATGGGAATTAATTAAACTTTGGAATTTTTGTCATGACACAGTTGCCAAATCAATAGAACACATCATTTGTTTTGGCCTCCTATCACACAAAGGTTGGTATATTTATAGAACTAACTTGTAAACCTGAAATGAGACAACAGATCTCGTAGCAGCTGATGTAATAAATATATTTATTTTTATTTGGTCATTCAGTAGTTAAGCTGTACTGTAAAACTAAGCTTAAAGTATTTTCCTCGCTAGACAAACTTCCAGGAGGAGCTGTCCATACTACTAGAATTTAGTGATCTAATTTCCAAGTAGAGCTTAATCTCCCTGTTGACTATACTGTGGTACAACTTACTGTTTGTTTTTCATGTGTGGTGGTTTTTTTTTTTTTTTAGGGATGTGCAATGCCCATTATACAATGATATCAAAGTTTCCTTTGTATTATTGTTCCTGTGCGGGAGGTTGGGGAATACAGGGGTTCCTCAGTGCTCAAGAAACCCTTCTGTAGCATGACAAAGTTCAACATGGCTTGCATCAAAATTTATGGTGGAATGTATATTGAGAGAGCTAGGGGTACAGTATTCCAATTCTTTAAAGAAAGCACTAAAAATACTTTAGAAAATGGATCAGATGATAAAATGGTAGACTCCATTAAAGATTTTGATACAAGCTTCCTAAAACTTTTAGCCTTAAAATAAATTGCCCAAGTGTGGGAATGATACTAGTAAGTAAATATTAAAACAAACCAACAGAAATGGTCTGATTTGGTAAATTAGTGTATTCATTTGGTGTAGAAGAATTTTTAACTTGCATATCCCTAATGTTACATATTTTGATCTGATGTGAATGAAAAATATTACGTGAATATTTTAATCAGCTTTTTGTGAGAAATTCCATTGTAGATGATTAAGAATTCCATTACTTATCCAACTAACCAGGTCTTTTAAAAATCCCCTTTAAAATTTACAGTGTAATGAAGTACCAGTCTGACATTTTAACAGGTGAATTGATTCTGTGCTTTGTTTTATTCATTTTGTTTAATCCATGGCTTTTAAAACTGTCCCTTTTTAAAGATGTAATAAATTGGCAAGCATTGGGTTGGAGGATGTACACACTAAGAAAACGGTGAGGGTTAAGAGCTGTTGATTTCCTACAGTCACGCAGAAGGGTTGGTGCCTCCACCAGAAGGAGTTGGATCCCTGTACTGGTTCCTTGCATTGACATGCCTCTGGGGCGGAGGAAACTGAGTGCTAATGTATTTTGGGAGCCAGGTTAAGATCCCGGCTAATTCCTTAAATCCAGTGGTTTATATTGTTTTGAATAATACTTCCACAGTTGAACATGCACAAATTTGAAGTCTTTTTTTTTTTTTTTTTTGCATTAGCTGTTTTGACTGGAATGGTTTGCTGCTATTTGTCCTATTTTGAGAATTCCAAATACACAGAAGTGGTGCATTTTAAAATTCCTGTATACATCTGCAAGTGTATAGTAGTACAGCATTTTAATTCCTGATAGGATGTAGCAACTTTATTTAATGGTGAAGTAAACCACAATTGTGTACATAATTCATAAACATGAATGAGAAATTAAAGGTACCTGTTATGTGGAAATTTGTCCACGGCATTTCTTTCCCTGTCGCATGTAACAGTTTACAAGGACAAAGACTTAACTAAAATCTTGTGAGCAGCATTTTGTTTTTGAGGTGAAACATCTTGCTGAATATTTAGACTTTTAAACAGCTTGATTTGCAACCTTCTCCTTTTTAATAAGCAGTGAATAATCTCAGGGATGGTCCTAAAATGGATCAAAAATTAAAGCCCTGTTTAGACAAAGAAGAAAAAAGTCAAAAGAAACAACACAGAAGTTGGATTTACGAGAGTTTCTTGCTTTGTTGCCTCTTGATATTACACTGTGTTGATCTTTTTTCACTGTCTGCAATGTTTCTGTCAGCTGTCTAATCCTGTGCCTTTCCTGTGATAAGTACAATAATGAGGTTACTGGTTTGGATTGTGAAAGGAATTTATTGGAGGATTTTAGAGGTTCACTGCTGCTTTGTCACTTTTCCTTACTAAAATTGGCATTGCTGAAAATAATACGTATATAGAACTGCATTACCAAATAGACAACAGCAAAAAAATTTTTTTTGTTTGTTTTAAAATGAGGACAGACAGACATTCCAGTGCCACACTAATTTAACGTGCCCAGGAAGTCCTAGATGCATTCTTGAAAGTGCAAAATTTATTGTGGTTTAGACGTGATCTGAAAGCCGATGGTTTTTATAGCATCTTGCACTTTAGAAGAGTAAAAAGCCGTCCTGCTTTTGTGTGTGGTGTGACCAATGATGTGCCCGGGGCACTAACTAAAAAGAAAAAAAAAAAAACACAAAAAAACAAAAACTAGTTGCTAGCAAGTTGTCCAAGGGCTGTGGAGCACTGTAGTATTTTGAAAGCTTTGGCTATAGATTCACCAAGCCCAGTCTACTTATACTGTCAGTACCCTGCTTCTCCTGTTTGCCTCCTTCTGTTTTTATGTGAACTGCCTGGTAATATCACTCTTAAGTAGCTTTTGTCTCCCATGAAAGCTATTTAAACAAAAAAAAATATACCTTCTTTTTGTTGACAGTGGTGGCTTGATAATCCTTTTAACAATTTGAGTATAAAACTTGCTGAATAGAATGAAGGAAAAACACACTTGGAATGACTCTTCTCTGTCCAGCTGTACATAAAGTTCAGGGTAGCTTAAAATAAGTTAATACCAAGAAACTCTATTAGTAAAGAAATTATACATGTATAAAAAGGAAGGGGGGGAAAAACACTCTGGGGGTGGGGAAGGGTGAGCTGGATTTACAAGTCACGACTGGATTTAACTGGCCTTTTTTATCTTTCCACTGTGTCATGTAAGTAGCTGCTTTCTTGTCCTACCTATTCTTCAGGCTTCCCTGAGTTCATTCTGAAGATACGTTAGTGAAATCTTCAAGTTTAGAAGTTGATCCTGACATTTGACATGAAGGCAAACGTCGATATTTTTTCTTTTTTCATAAGAACGATATAGAGGTTGCAATTGGAGAAAACAGTTCCCAGACTGTAGGAGTTAACTGAAGATATTGACACACATAAAATAAAATTAAAAAAAATCAGTAAAGGAATGTATATAATACTGCTCTGTGTTTTACAGTAAGATTTGTTGCTCTCAGACTGTGTAAAACAAAATTTATTCATGTTTTCTGCATATTAAAAAAATCTTATTGTACCAATTGGTAAACTATTAAATGCATATAAAACTAGACGTGGGGCTTTTTTTGTTTTTTGGTTTCCTTGGATGCAAGAATTAAAACTATTTTGGAAAAAACACCCTTCAGCTTTTACTGCACACTTCATTTGCTTTTTATAAAATTAACTTTGTGAAACTTGTTCTTAACAGGGAGGCATTTTGAGGCTGTAGAATAGTCCAAGGTTTTATTGACTAGATGTTACATAACTGAGGTTTATTTTTTAAGTTACGTGATTAGAAAGTTAAGCACTCATGCTATACAGAATGCTGTTTAATGCACATTTTCAGTAGTTTCTTGAAGGCAGCCATGTTTGTACACTAACAATCTCTTCCTATTAAATAAGCATCACTCCCATATGGAGGTGTTCAGTTTTATTTTTTTTAATACAGCACTCATTTGGTCTTGTGCCTTGCGGATTGATCTAAGGAGAATCTAGATTTCATGAATAACAGACTTTGAGCTTAAGCTTTTTAAAGCTTAGTATTTGGAGATGTTTCATTATGGAGCTGCTGGTATGGACTCGATCTCAAATCTAGAAGCAGTTAGAACAGACAGGATCCAGCACGAAAGCTAAGGTGGTGGTGTTTGCTGTACAAGGAATGAAAGGTGGAATAAACCTGCAGAACTTGACTCATTTTCCATCTTACATGGAGAGAAGAAATGGGAACCCTTCATGCTGTCTGGCGAAAAGCAGGGGTTATAACCTGTGATTGCTACCTTTTTTTATTGCTTGGATACATTGTGCAGTTTGTTTTCAGCAGTGTTGAGGTTTGAGGGTCAGTTTTCTAGACTTTTTCTTCCTGTGGGAAAGGAGGATGTTGAGGCTTTCTGCTGCTGCTTATTTTGATGGTACTGCCCTTGTTTAAAAGCTTGGTTGTATTTAGGAGAGGTAATTCTCTTAATTCCTTGCTGGACAAAGAGTAAATAGTAACTTCCAGTTGCACGTTGGGAAGTGAGGTCTAACTGCTGAGCTGAGTCGTCTGAACAATGTACATTACCTGCCTAGAGTAGTGGGTTCCCAGCCTTGGTGTCAAGGCACCTCTCAGAAAATGCCAGCTCTTAGTTTTCACTAGTTCTTTAAGGACAGAAAAGAACAATGCAATTCTTTTATTACGAAGAACTCGTAGATCACAACAGGTCAGCATGCCTTAAATACTATGGATTCCTATCTGAAGTCTTAGTTTATCTTGTGAATCATCTTTGTGCACCTAACAGCACTAATGTTGCATAGCGCACGGCAGCACCCTTGAAAGGACTGAAGGTACCCGAGTGCTGCGGCATAGACTCAGGTGTCTGCAAGCTTTCTAGATAGTGTTAGTGTAAATCCAACCCTACTTGGAAGTAACTTTTAGTGAAAAATGAGGGTTTTTGGGGGGGTTGTTTTTGGTGTGTGAAATGTCAGTAGGACAGTCCATTTTAAAACTAACTTTCAAGGCCAGTAACTTAGTGGGCACCACCCTCTCAAAATTTTGGATGAAGTAAACCCATGTTTAGACAGGAAAAAAAGCTTTTGTCAGACATCTCAACTAGCTCCGTGGTCTTGCCTCTTTGCCCCTCCAGAGGACAGTAACTTAGTATATAACTGAACTGGATTGCCTCATTCATGTAAATGTCTGATCTATTTCCAAGGTTAAGCTGCTTCTGGCTTCCTCTAAAAATAAAGAAATAAACCAGTCTCAACGGCACTGAATTTGGGTTTAATTGAGTGCTCTCTTATGAATGTGAGGGTATCATCTTGTCTACACTATATATTATTTTGTCCTTTTTTTACTTCCCTCAGAAGAGATGGATTGCTTTGGGAGAACTGAGGCATCTCTCCGTTCCTTTCTGTGTAATGTCACAGTGGTAGGCAGTGAACTCGATGCTTGAAAACGGGTTTCTGGTTCTCTGTATGAAAGCATGGACAGTGTCAAAATAAGATTACCTGCTTTGAAGGGGCTTGTTCACCTTGTTTGGTGTGCAGCATGTTATAACCTAAGGATCTTTCTCCTGTCTTAAATAAAAGTTAAGCAAAGTGGCTTGGATCTGTCCATGTTTTAAATCTGTCTGTATTAGCTGTGTGCTAGTAGTAGTAGTTTAATTACAGCATTTGCTAAAACGATGCAATATAATAGCAGCATAAACTCAGCCTTGCGTAGAAGAGTTTCCCAAGACAGGTAGAGGACTTTCAGATATTTGTTCCACTGAGTAGCCTGTTTATAATGGTTCATGAGACCAGGAATGTTAAAAGATGTCCAAACACACACCCTGGCTGAAATTATTGACATGTAGCAGACAAGTACAGAATGGTGCTGAACTCCAGTTACCACCCCCACCCCACTGGGGAAAAAAATGCATACACTTCTTGATGTCTTTAATGTGTGGTTTTACTACTGAGTGCTTGTTAAGAGGGAGCATGACAGATGCAAGTAAAACCCATGACGCTCCTAACAAAAGTTGAGGTATAAAGCTATTAGTATGTCTAGATTTTTCAGCAGATGAGGGATTTATACTCTAAAGCATAAAACCACTTACTGTATTGTGGGATTGAAGTGTTGAAATGGGGTTGAACAGAAGGTGGCTAAATTCCTTTTTACACTCTGTAGGTGGTAAAATGCAGTAATGGTACACAACCGATGGCACTTCTGTTCTACTAAAAGATTACAGAGTTGCTGTTCACTGTGTATTCTTAAGCTATTTCTGGTATGACAACTCCTGGAAATTCCTTCATGAGGAAAGGAAGGGAAGGATGATAAAAATAGGCATCTTTCATTGTCCAGAACAGCCAATCCTTGCCCTAGGATTGCTGTTGCTTTTGCAGCTTTCACTGATTTAACTTTCCCAGAATGCACTGTTTGTCTGCAAAGTGGTTTAATGAGGTTAATATTTTTATGGTCCTGCTAATAATAAGTATCTCTTCTGGGATGTGAACTTGACTAGAATAAGACAGGATGTGGGTTGGCAGGGTTTCATGGAATGACACCTAAGTTTCCCATAGTAGTAGTTCTTGGGGGTTTTTTTGATTCTTTAAATTACTAGTACAGGCAAAAATAGTTGGCTCAAGGGAGAGAAGGGATGTTTCATGCTATGGCACTAGCCCAGGACTGGAGAGATCTGGATTCAATTCCCTGATCTGCCACGGACCTCCTGCATGACCCTGGAGGCCACTTTAACTGGACCTAGAGGTTTGGATGTGGATTTAAGTCAAGGTAGGGACTGTGCTCCAATTATAATGCAGGCTAGCATTTTGGGGAAGATGCACCCCTTCCATTCCCCAACTGCAAAATGGAAGTGGTGGTAATTCTGTAAGTCACGTGTTTGTGAGAACAAATGTGATTAAGTTAGTGATGAGAGCCAGGTAAGGTAGGTACTTACCTACCAAAAAAGTAGCTTCTCCGTGTTGGATAAAGGGTTCTTCCTTGGTTAAATGTGTGGGGAAGGTAAGTTGCTCAGCAAAAGAATACTTGCTTATATGATGATCCTGTGTTTTGTGCAGAGCCCTAAAACAGCAGCAGATTTCTCGAGAAGAAGATGGTTGAATTGGAGTATCACAGTTAGGGGTGGGGAAATGAAGAGCCACAGCTCCTCAAATCCTTTTGGTGTGTTACTTAACAGCAAATTCAGCTGTTGATTTTAAATAGCTGTATTGCTTGGTGAGGTTATGCTCAGGTCTCACTTCAGTTCCTAGCAGAAGCTGTTCGTGCTGGGCTAGCCCTTTCACTTCTGAGAGTTGGTTTCATGCAAAACCAGGATGCGAAGATGATTCCTGTTGCATGCCCCACTTTCCTCAACTTGCTGAGATTACAGACTGTGTGGGGCTTAGCCCATAAGTGGAATTTGGAGTTGGTGAACATTTCACTGTAGGGAGGGGGAATTGTTCTGGTTTCAGCTGTGCCTGTATCAGGTCAACACTTCCAGCTATTTTTTTTCCTCCTGCAGTGTAGAAATCAATCTAATTCCTTTTGGGTCATACTGTACTTACATTTCATCCCCTTGTCTAACATGACTCCAAAATTGAACAACTTGGCTCAATTCCTGCAGTTACACTAGCTCTATTTTTAACTTGTTCAGTACAACCTATGGAGATTTGGTGTCAAAAGTAATCACTTGCCCAGCCTCACTATCTGCATCTCTATCCCTTTCCCTTTGAGTACCTGTATAAACCACAAGCAGGCTATATGCTGGACTGTTTCTTGAAGTCAGGCTGGGGTAAGATGATGCAATAAAAAGAAGCTTTGACCTTGCCTTTTCCTGCCTCTCTTCTTCTTCCAAGTAGACTCTGGAAAAGGTTTTATCGTTGTCCTGTGTCAAAAGGCTGAAAGAGGCGCTGTTATTTTCAAGTGCATAATAAAGAACTGCTACTGCTATGAGCTGTCTTCTGGCTTGGACTGATGAAATGTTACTTAAGTGCTACTTTGTCCTTAAATCACAACTGTGGTGAAATGCAGAGCCAGCAAGTGATGCAATGCTTTCTTTTGATGCTCTTTAACTTAAGCTTCTGACTCCTGCTTTCCGTGGGGTAGCTTCTAAACACAACTAGTAGCAGGGCAGTGCTCCTGTGCCCCTACTTCTGTGTGCCTGACAGCAGGGAAGTTAGCTTTAAGACAGTCTGCTGGACTCAAAACAGTACTAACACTCGTTCTTAAATCCTCTCCAGCAATTTTCCTGTAAAGGTGCCTGGAACCAATCAGCTGGTGAAACTAAGTTTGAAGTTGACAAAACATTTAAATAACATGCACTGCACTCCCTTTTGAAAAAGTCCAGAGGACTGGCAGCTGGCTAAAGCATAATTAACCCAGGCAGGGGCACGTGCTCCCTCTGAGAACCAGGGTTTGAGCCTTTAAGAATGAAACCGTGTTGGAAGCAGTTGTACTTCATTCATTGTTTTTAAGACTACCCTCCTTCTGTATCATCTGAGGACTTAATTGTAACTAAAAAGAGGAAAACTTGAGCTATGTTCATCTTCAGAAAGTCTTACCAATCACAGTAGTTACTGCCTTACTACCTTTGGCTCATCTAGAAGTGGTCCATCTCACTTTGCTGAAGTTAACTCTGAGAAGCAGTTTCCTGTGTTTAGTCTGAAGGCAGGGTAAATTTACACCATTGAGTTAAATCAGCTGTGCTTAAGCACAGTACCGTACTTCCATCAGATGTTAACATATTCTGAAGTGAGCTACTGCTTACAAAAGTTTTATGCATGTAGTCTATAAGGAGTTAATTCAGCCCTTGATACTCAACTCCGTCTCTCCCTGGAAGCTGTGTGTACAAGAGCCACTTCTGTACTGAAGTCTGACTTTAATACTTACCCCTGTAGCAAGACTCTATGAGGTTAAGGGGGCAGACCTTGCTGCTGTGAAGCCAGGCTTCAGGGCTAGATACAAACCCCATACTACTATTCCCAGGGGAAATGTGGCTGTGTTGACCTGTTTGTGAGAACTACAGACAACTTGTTCCTCTCAACTATAATGCATAAAACTATTTTTGCCTCAGGGCTGGAAGCAATCCTCAAAACCTCTTGCTCAACTGCCTGAAAGCTAAGTAAGTATCCAGGGTGAAGGAAAGCTCTGTTAACACATGGGCCATTTACAACTCATGCTCTATGAGTGTACTCCACCTGCTGGCTTTCAAACAGGTTGAAGTTTAACAATTGCTCTGAAGCTAGGAAAGGGAGCTGGGTCACAATCCCCTGAGCAAGTGCTGAAGTTTATTAAAGCATTTAAGGGGACATTAAACCCACTGGCAAGAAAGACCTACCCAAAGAGCCCACCTTAAAGGAAAGGCCTAAGTCCCACTAATGGTAGGTGCGTTTAACCACCTTATGCTAAATCCATACCAGTTCTCAGGAAAGCCTCCTGAGGCCTCTGTAACTGTGTCCATCTCCTACCTGACTGCCAAGTGAAAAGAAAGAAGCAAATCAGGCTGTTAGTGGCATAAGCCAATAAACAGACAAGACCCTAAACATCTATTTAGAGTCAACCTGGATGAAGAAATAGCAGCTCTTCAAACCATGCTGCATGTGCTTTTATTTAAAGAGGTGTTTAATGGACTAGAACTGGAAGACACTATCAAAAAAACCCTTGGGTGAAAGATGCACTATAGTCATTTATTGAATGCTTTCCAGGAAGTCCAAATAGGCTTGTGGTGGGAGCAAGTTTTTACTGAGAACACCTCCTGCTTTGTACCTTCTACAACAAGGTAGACAGAGGCAGCTCTCCACCCTCTCCCAAAAGTTACAAAGACCTGGTAATGCAGTACAGAAACCAAACAGGTACAGAGCACAGTGACAGCACTTTCTTTTCCAGAAGGTCAACAAAAGCAGTTAAAATTAGCAAAGTACTACTGGTGACAGACAAAGAAGAGAGATTGGACTCCTGTGTCAGCATGATATGGTTTTGGACTAGCAATCCTATCTCGCTGTATGTCTTCACCTGCTTGGATAAAGGACATTCAACTCTGTCGGCATGGTCTGCAGTGACTACAACCTATTTGTGTTGTGACTGTGCTAGCAGGGAGCACACTCTACTTAGAGGGGAGATGGGGAGGAAAGCCCCCCTCTCAAAAAACCAACATTCAGTGGCATCTGCCGTTTCATAACATCCATTGCCAGCAATGGAAGCTCCTCTAGGAACAAGTCTCAAACCCAGTGTGCAAGACCCAAAGAAAATTAAACAAGATTTATTAGCCATAGCGCTCAGTGCTATGGGAATTTTAATATTTCCCCACAAAGAAAAATGCTTAGTAACTTTAGGTTGTGTGAAGATTCATGATTCAAACCTGTTTAGCTTGAAGTTTGCAGATCACCTTAAAATTAAAGTTGATTAGCTTGAGACACCGTTGCTCATTCTAGTCTTTTTAATAAAGTCAACAGCTAAAGTGAGAGCAAACCCCCATTCCTGCCCTCCCAAAAAGAGAAAGATGCCAGCAGGGTGAAGGTTCTCCCATGGTGTGAACCTCTTCTATACAGTTCACTCAAGTGCCAAGACCGATTGACTGTAGGCATTGGGGTTTGCCATCGCAACTGAATTCTAGGTGTGCTTTTTGTTCTAAACCCTTGCTCTTTGGATGGGATTTCATGTGGCACTCAGGCTCAAGCAGAGTGCACAGGTGGATCTTTGAGGATCCATGCAACATGAAATCAGAAAGTGAATGGATACAAAAACCCACTAAATTGCCAAAAAAAGTTAAAGGAACCCCCATGGCTATATCCTAAATGTAGAAAAAAGCTGTACAGTCCCCCTGCACTTTACAGGTTTAAATCATCTCAACAGATACAAATATGGCTGCTTATTGTTCCATAGTGTGGCTTATGGTAGTGACTGAACCCCACCCCCACCAAAGAAAAAACAAACCCAAAGAAGGAGAATCAGTTTTTGGCTTGGAATCCAGGTTCGAGAGAGAACTGAATACTGGGATGATGGTGGAGACTTCCTTTTCTCTTTTTTTTTTTTTCTTTTTCTTTTTTGCAAAGCAGTATCCTTAGTCAACATAAAAATGACCTGAGAAATGTTCTACCTCCAGACAGTTCATTTGGAATTCGTATGTACAAGTAGAAATGACCAATGATACACACGCACATACACACACACGCGCACACAGACAGGACAGCCTCTGGCTGTGCTCACCTAGGGATGTTCTCAGATGCTGCTGCTGCATCCTGGCCACCTTCCCCCCTGTGGTGGCAGATACAAGCTCAGTCAGACAGATTACATTTCTCAACTTAGTTCTTTGCATTGTGTATTAGTTGTACCAGTGCAATAACATTGTCAAAAAAAAAAAAAAAAAAAAAAAA